CGGCTGCAGCAAATCTTCCTCATGGTAAAAGCACAAAACACTCTCACACACATCATTAGATTTCTTTTATTAATGCCCACTTAGTCTGATTTTAGTTTTCTTTGGGTGAGTAAAAATTTTGACTTTCTTTACTCCTCCGGAAAAGGACAAGCAATTACTTTCTTTGTAGTTTTAAGACTTTTGAGACAAACACAAATTTCACACACATTATTAGGTTCAATGGGACTTACGGCATCCATAAAGCTACTTGGAAAATCAGAAAAATATAAATGACGAAGTTGTCTGCCACATTTTCATAAAAAAAAAAAAATAAAAAAAATTATGTAATTTCAAGCATGCATAGCACACTGCATGCAGGCCAGTAGTGCTTACATGCAAAGTGAGCCACTCTGACTCTAAAAATCTAAAATATCTGATAGAGCAGAGAGGCTGGAATCTCATTTATAAAGGCTACTTTGTCTTCTATTATCCAATTTATTTTTCTTATTTAATTAACAACATAGGGGTTCCTTATATTATAAACCAGGGGTGGGCAACTCCAGGCCTCGAGGGCCGGTGTCCTGCAGGTTTTAGATCTCACCCTGGGTCTACACACCTGAATCAAATGATTAGTTCATTACCAGGCCTCTAGACATGCTGAGGAGGTAATTTAGCCATTTAAATGAGCTGTGTTGGATCAAGGACACATCTAAAACCTGCAGGACACCGGCCCTTGAGGCCTGGAGTTGCCCACCCCTGCTATAAACTAAAGGCCCTTCATTTTGAGGGACCTAGCAGCACTTGGCAAGTGGGGGAAGGAACAACTCTTAACAGGAAGAGATGTCCAGCAGAACCTCAGGCTTTAAGATGCTAAGAGTAGCACTGTAAACATGAGGCAAATACTGCTGTGCTGGACATGAGCCAATATAAACATGCCAGCTTTATGTAATTCACTCAGTTCCAGTTGGCTTTTGGTTCAACAGGAGAACGGGCTGGAACCCTTTACTACCAAAAGAGACATTTTGGGGGGGAAGAAAAATCTTTCCACACACTAAGTTCTGTACCTTTAATGTATCTGAATATGGAAACCAAGGCTAGCTTTACCCTAAACTCACTCTGTGAACTCTATTGTGACGTCTCCCCCTCGTTCTGCAGCACCACGCGACCATCCAGCAGTACATGGGAACCCTGGAGAACCTGCTGTTCACCGCCGAGCTCGACCACCACATCCTGGCCGTGTACCAGCAGTTCTGCGCCCTGCAGCTTTGAGACACACGATCCCGATGAAATGTGTACTTGTGTTCACCCGATGTGATGAAGCGACACATTAGAAAAACCAGCTCTTGCATCAAGAATCTCCTCTTCAGTTTTATTTTTATTTTCCTGTCTGGTGCCATTCATTTCACTCATGTGCAGCCACATCAGAGGATGTCTGTTGAGAAAATCTTTAATTTGTGGTAGCGCTCCTTTTTTTTTTCTTTTGGATGTATTTCTTTGTTTTCTCTTGTTTATTTTTACCTCCTGGCCGTATTGTTATGAATGGATCTTTTTAAAAACTGTATGAAGACGGAGCTACAGAAATAATCTTCATAGGAAGGGAGGTTCCAGGTCGGTTCTGACTGATCCTGAATCTAGAGAGTGCTCTACTTTTTTATATTTGTTTTATGTGGAATTGGGAAGTAATTAAAGCTCTACAGAGTCTTTATCCATCCACTCGTTTGTGTTATTGAGTCTTCATGAAAATACAGAATGGGGGGGGGAGCATCCAGTTTGAGGTTATCTGAACATACCAATGTAAATAAAAATTTAAATATTGTTATAAATGCCTAAAAAGAACAAGTAAACATTTACACAACATCTAGTGCTTAAGTGCATAAGTACAGCCTTAATGCTTTCATAGAACTAAGAGGTACTGCTAATCTAATCCACTTCATTTATCATCAGCAAGCTTGAGCACCTCTATAAATGCAGAAGCTTTGTCAGTTTGCTGCTCTGGAGCAATTGGGTGTGTATTCAGACATTTCCACAATCATCACAGGAGCAGAAATTCACCCCAGAGATTTGAGCAAGCAGACCGAGTCAGTAACTCAGGAAAGCTCATGACTCCTCAGACTACAGGCCTCAGTTAGCATGTTATTTGATAACAGTACAATTAGACAAAGACTGATCAAGTATTGCGTGAGAGTTTGAGGACACAGCCTCTTGTCTCTAAAAAGAACATGGCAGTGCAGTTTAGTTTTGCAAAGCTGAATCTGAATAAACAATAAGAAGCTGTTGTAGGACTTTAAGAGAACTGCATGAATTAATGCCATAAAACTTGATGAATCAAATGAATTTTATTGTAGAGATGGGATTCTGCAACGTACTCAAACATAGTGTGAACTGCACAAAATGAGGCAAAGCATCAGGTCCTGTCCTGTTGCCTCTTAGCTCAAAGAAAGCATCAAATTTGAACTCAGTAACATGAACAAACTCAAGCAGGAAAGATTAACAAATTTAATGGTAAAAAATAAAATTTACATGATTTAGGAAAGTGTTCTTATTTACTGTGTACATGTTTTTTGTCATAAAGTGCCCCACAGCTGAAACACTGTTTTCTTTTATTGCACAAAGCCCACATGTCTCACCTGTGAGGTTTCAACATTATTCAAGGGTTTTAAAACATCTGCAGTCCTTAAGAAGGCCACACATTTACAAAAAGAAAGCATTAAAGTGCTTAAAACACTTTTTAGGAGTTTTTTCTTATTTTATTTTTTACAGCGGTAGAAAGATGTTATGTTTATTTTTAACAACATTCAGGTAGTCATGTTTGAAAAACAGTTTTCAGAAACCTGCAGAAAACCCGTTTAACACGTAAAGTTAAGACATGATATCTGGAGAATATTTGTGGTTTTTACAGTGATTTTTCAAAAATGTATGCAAGTTTCCTTCCTACGATCTATAAAGTCAAGTCTCTCACTGTAATAGGATAGCATCAGGAGTTATTTCAAGCAGCACGAGTGCTGACTGACGGCACAAAGTCAGTCCCTGAGAGGCAAAATGAATCTGCACACGAACGAGTGTGCTGAGTCATGTGACTCACAGTTTATGACCTTTACATGTTTGCTGTTCAAAGGAAGACTGTAAGACTAAAGTGGAGTGCACTGAAGGACAGTGGATACATGAATGCTGACACATGTGGTCTACATGTGAAATTTAACTTAATCCATAAAAGCAGGTTTTGTAACAAAGCACCGAACTTCCATTACCATTTACTCTACTGTACCTGGTCAGGTGTGGGTGGGTGTTTTGTACCCGTGTACACAACGAACTTCATTTTGAGGTAACATTTCTTCACCTTTATATTAAATCTGAGTGAGTAAAAGTGCAGTGTCCTGTATTAAAATGGTTTCCTTCTTTTTCTTCTCATCATAATAATAATATATAATAATAACAATATTATTATTATTATTATTATTATTATTATTATTATTATTATTATTATTAT